GAAACCGTCTCTTGACCCAGATGACTTGGTCAATTATAGACCTAAATCCAATCTTCCTTTCTTATCTAAAATTCTTGAGAAAGTAGTTGCCAAACAAGAACGAAGGAAAAACAGTTTATTGATGTATCCCTTCAGATAAACACAAACAATCATGTATTCAATGGACTCACCAGCACCGTTAGTAGTAAACACAGATGCCTTGCTAGGAGCTCCATCCCCCTTGGCGGTGTAGGCAGTCAGAGTGATAGAATAAGTAGTCTCAGGAAGCAGACCTGATATGATGGTTTCCTGAACGAGGAAACGTTTGGAAAATACAAAGCAGAGAAACAGAAAAATGTGAAGATTAAGAGAGATGAAGTTTTGAACAACAGGTTCATTTCACATCAAACTAATTCACATTAGCTTTATAGCACCGATTCACATTAAATATTGTTTGATTTTCAACAGGACCACTATCATCTTCAAACAGAAAAAGATAGAGCTACGTTGGTTTATAGCACCAAAGGGACGGACATGATTTTGGTTCTGTTTAAGTTTTCTTTTTCAGTTTTGTGTTTGGAGAAAATCCTCGAGTTTTTCAGAGACTCCAGCAACATATGGGATGGAGATGTTTTCCCGTCCAATCTTCTTGTCTTATATTCTCTTTTGGATTTCCTTACTGCTTTGACAAACACCACGTTTAGGTATCTATGGGGGGGTTGGGGCTATAGGGATGGGAATCAAAAACCGGTTCCTGTTCAGAACCGGTTCCATGTGTTCCAATTCCATGGCACGATTTGGCAGCAGAACGATTCTCTTAACGGTTCCAGGCAGCACCAGAGCCTAGAGCTGGGCAGCACGACTTATGTCACGTCTTTTATGCAAGTTACGCACACGGCATTTAATAAGCAAGTACGACATGACCAGGCGTAAGTCTAGAAAAGCAAAACTAAAAAAATGGCACCCAATCGGGTAAAGCTATTACATCCAAAATGCAGAAGACCTGCGCACATAACATGGCATACATTTTAACAAATGCTGCGTTTTTAATGCTTCCAGACAGAAACTAAAGTTACGACCAGCGTGGAAGGAAACTGGTGGGAAGTAGCTAGTTTTATATCACTGGCTGAGCTTAATGTGGTTCCTAGTAAATCAGAGGCCATTTCTGGAAATAAACTCGTTTCCTACCTCTCTTTGGGGTTATTAAGGGAGGGTGCCTTTCTCGTTAATCCAGCCCTTCATTGCCAGCATGTTTAATTAGAACTACTGGTAGCTGGAATTTTTACATGATTCTAGCTATTGCAACGGGCCCATGAATTTCGGTAGGTGAACGTGAGGCTGTTGTCAGATTGTCTTAATAAAATATTTCTCTCCACATTAAACAGATACATTGTGGACATCTTGACCTTGTTGAGTTTGTAAGGTCGTGTGATAGTTAAGTAAACAAAGTTGATGCTCATCATCAAACTGTTTGTTCTCTTTTCCCCAAATTGGAATCGATAAGAGAATCGATAAGGATTCAAATCATTTCACAGAATCAACAAGAGAATCAGAATCGTGAAAATCTTATCAATCCCTGACCCTAGTGGCCTAGTGGTTAGGTCATAGAGCTGGGAATCCTGAGGTTCTGAGTTTGAGCACTACTCCCACAGACTGCCACTCTGGGTCCCCGAGCAAGACCCTTAGCCCCACACTGCTCCCCAGGTGCAATGTATCTTTAAATGTTTGACTTTGTTTGCAAAGACTTTAGAGTTATCTGTCTGATGGGGTGTGTTTCCCACCAGGGGGGCTAAAATATTATTAAGCTGATTAGGAATGTTGTATGTTACCCTCCCCAGGGGAGCAGATAGCAAGAAGCTAATCAGTTGAACTGGCTTGTTGGAAAATTAAAGAAACATGTTAGTCTGTGTGTACCATATTTTGTTTTTTTGTTTTTTGTTTTTTGTTGCAGGCTGCCTGATAACTCATAGCAAGCAATAAAGAAAACAACCACTGTATCGTAGAAGGACTGAGTCTATGGCAAATAGATTTGCCCTTTCCTATTTCAGGTTCATACTTTTAGTTTATTTTTTCAGCTTTTATTGTCATTCCACTGTCACAGCTACAGAACTGCATTTAACCCCTCCCCTTGGGGAGCTGTGGGCTGCCATTGTGCAGCGCCCGGGGAGCAGTGTGGGGTTAAGGGTCTTCTCAGGGAACCAGAGTGGCAGTCTGTGGGAGTGGGGCTCAAACTCAGAAGCTCATTCCCAGCTCTATGCCCTAACCACTAGGCCAACCCTCCCCCTAAATGTGATGTTTGTATCTCCAAATAATCCAGTAAAAACTATTTGAATAATGAATAAGTCAGTTCCAGATGAGCCTGGCCAAAGTCCAGACCTCAATCCCATCAAGAATCCAAAGCAGGTTTTATAGATGGCTCTTAACAGTGAAGGAGCTGGAGCAGATCAACTCTGAGGTGTTTACAGGAACCCCAAAGGCCAGATGTGGAGAGCTTCTAGAGACCTGGACCTGCTGCTAAAGGGCTCTACCACTAACACTACTGACTTCAGGGGATGAACATTGAGCTGTTTAATGATGCTCTGTCCTTGTTTTGGTTGGTTCACATAGATAATCATAACTCTTCTCCATATTTGTAGACGAGTTCTATACATGGAATGATGAAACTATTTAAACAACAATTTTAACTCCAGACTTTAAGGCAACAAAGTCTGAAAAATGCCAAGGGGCTAAATATTTTTGCAAGACATTGAAGCACCATAGAAGAAAGTGTTTCATTAATTAATAATGAAACTAAATTCTAATGATTATTTTTCAAGAGTTACACGAGGAAGAGGCCTAAAAAGCGACCTTCCTGAATCTACTTTAATCTGCTACAACCTAAAATTAGTTACCTGGGCTTTAGGGTTTGAAACGTCGATGATGGCCGGCTGGCCGTGTGGTTCTCTGTTCCTCAGCCTGGAGCAGATAACATGGTAGCCTTGGATCTGTCCGGATTGCTTTACTGGTAACGGAGCCTTCCAGGTCACCCTGATGCTGGAGGAGTTGAGGGTTTCTGTCACCACCTTCCTTGGAGGAGGTCCAAGCACTGAGAAACCATCCAAAAACACAGCTTCAATCTTTCTGAATCACCTCAGTTTGAAGTCATACTTTCTATCTTTTCCAATCCTGCAACTACAGGTGCTTGGTTCCAGGTACTCAGAGATTCACTTCCATACAGAAAGGCCATATTCTGATCTACAGCTACCACAGTATACATGTCAGATTAAATAATAATACTTATACTTCAGTGATAGTATCAAAGTGTTACTAAAAAAAAACAAAAAAAAAAAAAGCAGTTGATTTCATCTAATATTCTGTAGACCTGCAGGTTTTTTTATTTATGACACAGTCAGAGCATCAAAATGATCGATGTAGATTTCAAAAGAAAATCGCTGTTGAAGGTCTAAACACATTAAATATATATATATATTTATATAGTGAAACATTTCTGATTTACTTAATTTGGCGTCAATAACAATAAGAACAATTCAGAGAGCAGATTGAAGGTTTGCTTACTGGATTTGGTGGTTCTGGCCTGGACAGGTGGAGTGAAGACTCCCAGACCTCTGTCAGATCGAGCTGCTAGCGAAAACAGGTAGAGTGTGTCTGGCTTCAGACCATCCACTGCATAGGAGCCCACTGCGCTGAAACTGACACTACGCTGTGAAGAAATGACAGCGAGCCATACGTCACACAGATGCAACTGTTTCAAAAGATAATATGAAAAAGGAAACTACAAACTCCAGACTGAAATCATTCATACAGAAACTCCACATCAAGCAATCTGCCCTGTGTGTTAGTTATTTAACAGGTAAAACCTCGACGTTTGGGGGAATTATGGACATCACCAGGAAAATTAAAGGGATTCTTCTGCCTGTGTATCACTACATCAGATAATGACTTTAATAAAACTTCAAAATGATCAAAGTCTAGATTTAAAATGTCTAAAATAAAATTGGAGCAGCAAAACAAAACAACATGTTATAACAATTTAACAGAATAATGATGGGATTAAATTAATTGATAAAATTAATTAATAAAATGTAGAATATTTCATAAAAAAAATTGTATTAGCATCATAGCCATTCTATCATTTGTTTCAATGCAGAAATCCTGTTTCCACTGGTAGTTTGAACATTTCATGTTGGAAATGATGGGAAGGCCTCCCTGTCATAACCCTAATGAATTCCAGTCAAAGGTTTATATTAGTTTTACATTTAAAATCATTCTAAATCAGTCAGGATGAATAGCTTTAGAGTAACTGCAGGTCATTGATGGGTATGTGTGGACAGCGAGGTACACAGTCCTGATCCATTACTCTTGGTAATGAATATGTTCATCATTCACAGTGTTGGGCACGTTACTTTGAAAAAGTAATTAGTTATAGTTACTAGTTACTTCTCCCAAGAAGTAACTGAGTTACTAACTGAGTCCACAATAAAAGTAACTAGTTACTAGTAAAAGCAACTATTGCGTTACTTTTGCGTTTCTCGCCCCCGTAACCCTCACCACCCAGCCCCCACCTTCTCGCCGTGTGTTTCCAAAGCCAGCTGAATAGAGCGGACGACAAAGACAAGAACATTGTGATTTGTGGTTTTTCCTTGGATATTAGTAAGGTTAAATATTAAAGTGTGCCAGGTTTTTCTTATTGAATAGGGGTGATTAGTTAGAGGCTTTGTTCCATTCTTTGTGCTGAGATGTAGGGAAAGGAAGGAGGTTTGAAAAGGAGTTTCCTCACTAGGTTAGATAAGGGGGGAACATAGATAAACAGGTCCTTGTGTTTAAGATCCTCACGTCCTGTCTCTGGTGTGAACGGAAAACAGTTGTCTGGAATGTTTATCCAAAAGTATATTTATGTCTTTTGATGACGTGTTACCCTTGGGAAGATTCAATGTTCATGTGTGTGTATGCTGTGGGTTCTTCTTAAATGGAGGGGTGTGATTCTGAATGCTTCAGAATCACATTGGGAGCTGTGTTCAGCTTGTTCTGTGATTCTCCTTTGCAAAGAAAATAAAACCTTTTCTTCTTACTCTCAGTGCTCAATTTTTACTCCACAACCTGCAGAGAGTTTTGCATTTATTGCAACTCAAGGTAAATGACATCAGGGGGAAACGCTATCTGACGGGCCTATGAACCCCGTCAGATAGCGTTCCCCCTGCTTAACATGGGGGGAACGCTATCTGACGGGCCTATAAACCCTGTCAGATAGCGTTCCCCCTGCTTAACATGGGGGGAACGCTATCTGATGCGGTGTAAATATCATCAGACTGCATCACCTCTACTCATGGGTGGGAAGTTTTTTAACAGGGCGTTCAGATCTGGTGAGTGAATGAAATTAATAACTGGGGATGTCTAATTCTGAAATCCTGTGTGTTTGGGTTGTTATAGATACTGCAACATCCATCCATCCATCCATCCAATATTTGATCCTTCACGCTCTCCGTAGTTCTCCTGTGGCGCGAGCACAGGGCGGCTGTTCCGCACCTTTAGCGAGCATGCACGTATCCTGTCGCTTGCGCGGTGAATCGTGCCGCCTGCGCTGTGCGGAGATGCAGGGGAAACCGTATCTGATAGGGAAACGCAGCTCGACGTAACACCGGTATTTCCATCTGGAAAACGCTGTTTTGCTGCTGGAGTCATCCTCACTCTCCATCTCTCTGTGTGTGCTGTACGTTAACACCCTCCAGCAGAAACACCCACCTACCCAACTGACAGATGGAATCTCACTATACATCAGCCATTCTCATCCTCTCCTCTGTCATGACAAGGCGCGCACGAGTCCTATCATGAAAAAAGGTTCATTGTGCGACCTGAGTAACGCGCAGTAACGGGGTGTCTGCAATGGTAACTGCGTTATAGTTACAGTGAAAGTAATTTGTTAGATTACTCGTTACTAAAATAAGGTAACGCCGTTAGTAACGCCGTTACTCCCATCACTGATCATTCAGGCTGAAGCATTTATGTTTTAGATGAATGCAGACCTTCATATTAGAAAGAACCTGGATTTTCATTGCTCTAGCGGATGCAGCTCACCTTGTCGTTGGGACTGTTGGCCTCCCAGTAATGCAGTTCATAGCTGAGGATGTGATCTTGGATGGGCCAAAGCCAAGACAACATTACCCTGGTGTCCAACTCTGCCTCGGCCTCAAAGCCTGAAGGTATGGATGGAACTGAAAGCAGAAACAGAATGGTTACCGCAGTGGAGATCGACCGGTAAAGCTTTCTAAGGACAGAACCGATACAGATATGAGAAATATACTTTCTTCATAGTCTGGCTTTTCATGTTAACTTCATTTAGTGGACTCTAACCCCTTTATTAGAATATATAAGATTTTATTCTAATTGTTCATGGTTTTATGCTAAGAAGTGGTCTGTAAGCTTACGGAGATCCGTTTTTTAGGAGCAAATTGCAAAATAATTGTCGTCTAATGGATGACTTTTGAAAAGTTTGTTTAGGATTCAGGATTTTTTTTCCAAAAAAACAGAATGAATTTACCGATCTAAGTGATTTTTCTAAGATTGTCTCTGTATGAAACTTTTTCGAACAATTCATGACATTTGAAAGGTGGAGAAACGTAAAATAAAGGGAGGAAAACCGGATTGATCTGGTCTCTCATGCAATGCACAAACCGCAGCGTCATTTCCCACCAGCAGCTGGTGTTTCTCACTGGTTACCACCAGGAGTTGCACTGTGACCTGTTTTCAAGTTCTAAAAACTGATCCCTTCGTAAAATCTCAGAATGACGTCTTTGGTTCAGAAAAATAGCAGGATGCTGCTGGACTAAACTACAGTGGTGAAACTGCCTCTGAGGACCAGCTGATGGCAGCTACATGGCTGGAGTCAAGACCATACCGAGCAAGACCAAGGAACACCAAGAACGAGACAAGACCAAGACCTTTAGAGGTCGAGACCAAGAGAAGACCAAGACCTTATGAGGTCTCGGTCTCTAAAGGTCTGACCTTGCTTTAAATCACCTCAGGTTGTCAGGACTCCTGTCTGTGTGTTTGTATTTCTGTGTTTGTCTCCCTTCCTCCACCAGGAGGCGCCTGGTTCTGGTCTGCCTCCTCACACACCTGCTGATGGTTTCCTCATTAACGGAGTGCTCTTAAGCTGCTGACTGCCACTACCTCGACGCCAGAGTGTTTGCCAGTTTTGGGTACTCTAGCCAAGCTGAGTTTTGCTGAGTCAAACTGAGTTCTTGTCAAGCTGAGTTTTAACATTGTTTTTGTCTTTGTCAGGAAGTCATCCTGCAAACTGGATTTTTCGGACCTTCTCTCCCTGGAAGGATCAACTGAGCTTCAAACTGAGCTGGGGTTCAAACGGGGGGTTTGGACCCACTTTCCCCAAAAGATCGTTTAAGCTTCACACTGAGAAAGGGATTCATCTCCACTACGACCCGTTCAAGTACCGCAGAAAATCTGAGTGGCAGTCAGCATCTCCGTTCACCTACAAACAACTGCATTCTGGGTAAACCTTGTTCCGCCCTCCACCGAATCAGACAAACACTGGAACTACAGCACACAGACTGGAGTCAAAGATTCAACAACTTCTCTGGAATCGTGAGTCAGCATTCCTCTTCTCCAAGTTCACAAATCAAATTTCCCACTGACCCTGAACTAATCGCTGTGTCTTCCCCTCCCTTTTCAGTTCCGGTTGAGCAGTGTTCAGAGCCACACTTCTCTCTGCATTATCTATTTAATAAAACCTGTTAAACCTTTTCTCCTGGTCTCCCTGTTTGGTCTTCAGCTTTTGGGTCTGAACTTTAGTAAAATCATGACACTGGTGGCCATTTTAGATAAGACCCAAAAGCTGAATTTTTTTTGGTGTGTACATATCTGAGATTTACATGTTTATTATTATATAGGGGTGGACCTATGTAAGTTGGTGCGGTTTCTTTTGGTGTCTGTTTCATTTATTTCCCTAAAACCAAAGTTTGTAAGGCGAGCACTCTGTGTTGCTTTGGCCAATCAGCTTGGAAGGTTCTGCTCATCGCCCCTCCTTTCCCCAAACAGGTTAGATGGGATCAGCCTCATAATGTCTAGAACTAAACCTGAATGCTCGATCGGCCATGGAGGTAAAGGGAAAACCAGCTGTATGTTCTTCTTTCTGCTATCACCCTTTCTTCTTTGCTCAAACACCTCTGCTGTTCAGAGAAACATTTGTAAGACCAAAGATTATTTCATTAAATTGGAAATAAGTTGAATATATTATTGCACAATACGAGCATTGGACAGGATGCTCTTATATGCAGAAAATAAAACCATAAGACCATAAAATACTGAGGAATGTAGAGTTTCTAGAGACCGTTTGCAGAACATGGCATATCTGTATATTTGTGACGGATAAGAGATGTTGAATCATTGCAGGGGGGGGGGGGGGCACTCACCTCCCTGCTGAGTTTTTATCTGCAGAACATCAGACAGCGGTCCATCTCCCACTGCTGTGAAGCCAAGTATCCTGAGGCTGTAGGTGATGTTTGGCGTCAGACCTGAGATGGAGGTGGACCTGCTGTCATTGGTGTTGAGTATCTGCCAGCTGCTGACTGGGCTGCTGGGCTCAGACCTGTAGTAGATCCGATAGCCCTGTAGCTGACCGTTTGGTTCCTCTGGAGGCTCCCATTCCATCAGTATAGTGGTGGAGCTCAGGAGGCGTGCTCGTACATGAAGAGGTGGAGATGATGGTGCCTGCTCACCTGTCCTGATCTCCACGGTGCTGCTCGGAGGCCCCCGACCTACGCTGTTCGAAGCTAGGACACGGAACTCGTATTCAGAGAAGGGGCTAAGGCCACCGATGCTGTAGCGGGTGGATGCGACGCCATCGATCTCCTGAAAACCGTTCTCAGAGGGCTTGGAGCGGTACTGGACCAAATAGTACAACACAGGCTCAGCGTTCCCAGACTCCCAGGTTAAAGTCACACTGGTGGCTGTGGTTTCTACCACCTGCAGGAAGGTGGGCTTCTTTGGAAGAGCTGCCAAAATGAGAAAGGGCTCAGTCAGACATAGCAACACATACTTCTCTTAGTTCATATGCACATTTCATCATCTATCTTATGATCTGAGAAATCAACAAATCTGCTGAACCAGCTGTACAGTTTTTAAATGTCAGAAAAAAATGCAACAACCAGTTCTGGAAAAAGAGAAAAGGAAAGGGTAAAGATTTGATATCGTTTAACCTTTTTGTAGCTTCACAGACTTCCCAGCTCTTACAAAAGTTAAAGGAACAAATGAATACCATTAATTTTCCAGATCTTCAAACTTTGAGTTAGAAAATGGGCCCTGTGTGGGAAGCTTCTCTCTATAGAAATTAGTTGCCTTGGAGAACCAAGTCTCACGCTTTAGGAGGGTAGATCCTTCAATGAACATTATTCCAAGATATTCTTTTTCTAAAACTCTATTTTAACCAATAATTATAGAAATGTACAAGCCGAGGAGAACAGGAGGCTCAAAAGTGAAGTTATCCCTCATGTGTTCCCAGAATTTCTAAAAGTAGAATGGGAGGCAGATCTTTTAGTTATCAGGCTCCTCTCCTGTGGAACCAACT